TTATTGGTCCAATATTCTGTAATTTCTCATTTTGGCAATATAAGATTATGTTGTTCCTTCAAGGCTTTTTGCAGGTTCCATAAAATTCCTTTTTTTGGGGGGTGGGAGGCTGTTGCAGCACTCATTATTTAGAAGCTTGCTTACCTATAGGAAAAAAACTTTATAATGCATCTGAATTTAAGAACTGTGGAGCAACTACAAACTTGCTCAATTGTAAACGCATGTTCCTCCTCAAGTTACTCTTCCCCATTGATTTACGGTAGTCCTATGCCAAATCTTTCGCTCCCAGCTTATCTCTGAACCTTGAAGTTTAGATTTTTGGTATCCACTGTAAGATGCTCTTCTAGCCTTCTTGATATTGAATAATATACCCTAGTTCTATTGCTCCTGCCAAAAATAAGTTACTGCATGCTTGGCATTTGTCAGCATAAAACCTTTTGTGGCCTGTCTTTATTTTCTCGCACATAAAGAGCTGAAGGATTCTATTGTGGTAAATGTACTTGTAAAGCTAAAGGTCATTTCCTGAACAAAGTACCGTTTTTTAATAGCACCAAATTTAGGACATGCAAAATACTCCAAAAAGAGAAAGACTAACTAAATGTCAATTTGCTTTTTGGAATGTTTTTGTTAGAGTCAGCTTGATTCGAAAATTTGTTGTAAAAGCACAAGACTGAGAAAATATTGCATTATATATGTAAATTAATTTGCATGTTGTGATGCCTTCCATTCATTCTCAATTACTTACAGTTGTTTTCTTTTCATTTCAGCAGATTCGCAATGTATTGGATCTAATGCGCAGGGGAGAGAGCTTAAGATTTGAGGTTAGAATTCTTGAAGCCATTTGGATATGTTGATTAGTCTATACAAAATAGACAACTTAAATGTTCAATTGTCTAGGTTCATGTGTTTTTAAGTTATACTAGGTGCATGATCTTTTGTAATATCTAGGTATGACTTTATGCTATTGTGGTTTAGTTCATAGTATTTGTATGAAACCATTTATTAGGCCTGACCCTTTGTGTTCTTATAGTGGACTTCCAATATATTAGTAGTTTGCTTAATTTAAGTCTATACCCCTCTTCCATCCTCTTTGTGCCTTGTGATCATATCAAGGACGCCTCCTTATATTCCTATATACGGTTCCGTAAGTTATTTGAAATAGATTTTGATTTCCGGATTCCAGATTCCTTTGTCTAATTTGCTTTTGCACTGGTGGATATGTTTCTTCAGATTTCCTTAATAACCTAGTGTGGGTATTGGTACAAAATCACGAGCATTGTTACAAATTGATAAAAGTTTTCTTCGGTTTTCCGTGATATATTTTCCTGATGGGACATGAAGAGGATAGGAATGATAACCTACAGTAGTATCTAAAATTGATTAGCTTATAAGATAGAGTATTTTGAAATTAAAATCTTCCTTGTATTCCAGGACGTTATGATCCTTGATCAGTCAGGGTTCTTTGGGATGGTGGATATTCAGGATCGCCATCGCGATATGCGTCTTGATGTTGATAACATGTCCTATGAGGTTAGTACAGGGAACATAACTACATTTTCACATCTATGAAAGACATTCTAAATTGTCTGCCTGTGTTGTATTTACAGGAATTACTGGCGCTTGAGGACCGCATCGGGAATGTCTGCACTGGGCTGACTGAAGAAACCATTTTGAATCGTCTGAAGCAACGGAAGCATGTACGCATTAGAACGGAAGAAACCAAGGATGCTGAGCCATGCTGTATTTGTCAGGTACAAAACTCAATACTTATTCTACTTCGAGTCAGATCACCGTATGCTGGAGATCTAATTTTTGTTCACCTTAAGAGTGAGGAATCTTAATTTGTTTATAACAATTTGCAGGAAGAATACAAGGATGGTGAGGATCTTGGGAAGCTGGATTGTGGCCATGATTTTCATGCCGACTGTGTTAAACAATGGCTCATGCAGAAGAATTTGTGCCCAATTTGCAAAACAACAGGACTCAATACTTCAGGAAAGCATTGATCTGTGGAAGTTGGATGTTCCGGTTGGGCCATGGAAGGTTGACACACAAAGCGTGTCTACGCGTTTGGTCCATCAGTTCATTTTGAGAAAGATCTATGTATTTTTCTCATTAATTTTATTGTGACCTCTGCTTAGAGGGAGTTATTTTAGAGATAGAAGAAGCACTAGCTGCAATTAGGGTCATTAGGCAAGTGTTACATTATTTGGTTGTTTGGAAATTTACATTCTAACTTTCCAATTTATTGATACCTTTGAATATTTTTGGTTCATTTTCCTATCCTCTCTTCCTATTTCATGCATTAGAGAACGTATCTACCATCGGAAACAATCTCTCTATCCCACAATCGTAGAGGTAAGGTTGTATGCATATATCGCACCCCTTCCAGATCCAATTTGCGGGATTACATTGGAAGGTGCATCTAATCCTTTCTAGATCCCCACTCGTGGAATCATACAATTATAGGACACGTTGTTACCTAGCATTGCACTATTGTGATCTATGTTGTGCATTTTTTGACGAAAGGGTGTAAATAGACCTTTTTTGAACAAAGGATAAGTTTGACTAAGGGTTGTCAATTGACTTTCATGCCCTCTGTCCATTTTTACCCTAAGGGTGATTGAGCTAGTGTAACACGTGCAGGGATACTTAACACTGCACTATTGCGATCTATATTGTGTATATTTTAACAAAGGGGTGTTAATTGCCTCTTTTTGGACAAAGGATAGGTTTGACTAAGGGATGTCAATTGACTCTAACGTCCCTCCATTCATTTTTATTCTAAGAATGACTGAGTTGGTGCAACATGTATATGGATACCTCAAAGCACTACAAAGTAGAGTAGTAATTATGTTCTTTTAAAGTCATAAATCACTTTAAAGGTGAGATTGTTGGGGCAAGTGCGCATCTGATAGCAGAGTAGTTGGGCTAGTTGGGAGAAAAAAGAGAAGAGAGACGTAACGCATTCTTTTATTCCCATTATACATAATTGATAATACTAATTTATTAAAGATTTGTAAGTGGTAACAAAAGCATACAATTGGTAGCCAATTTGATATTTTAGTACAGATATTGAAAATATATAAATAGATAGATGGCTAGCAAAAACAAGCATTTAACTATATGGCCACTTGTTTGAATTCAAACTAAAAAACTAAATATATAGATTAATTGGTGACACGGAATGTTGACAATACCCTTCTCTTTTTTCTGCTCATTATGAACAATGACACTCAACTATATGTCAACAGCTCAAATCCATAATTATATACCTAAATAGACCATAGACTATAGAACCATTGCACCAAGTCCCAACCAACCTCATTTGAGGGTCAGATACGCAATTCTATTTCTATGTTTTGATAGTAAAAAAGACATGCTAAAAACAAGAGGAGGAGAGAATAGTAACGATAGCAAATAATATAGTACCTGAGACAAAATTTTTTGAATATTAATTATAATAAAATAATGAAATAAGAAAAAGAAAGGTCACCGACCTCGGGAACATAACTTGGTTGTTTAAATAAATAATTTTTCTTTCAGTTATTATGGCATCTAAATGGATAAGGTTATCAAGAAGAAAGGTGGACTGATGCATTCACTTAAATCATACTCCCTCCGTCCCTTTTTAGTTGTCCACTTTAGAAATGACACACAGATTAAGGCAACAATGATTAACACAATGAAGTTACAATTTTACCCTTATGACAACTTTTCACTTCAAAATTACAACCACTTCTTTGAATTCAAGTGAAATAAATTGGAGGGAAACAACGTACACTTTTACAATTTTCAAGAAGTGTAAATAAGGGTATAATAGGAAAAAATTTGTTGTCCTTTCTTGATTTGTCAAAATGGACAACTAAATAGGGATAACTAAAAAAGGAAATATGGACAACTAAATAGGGACGGAGAGAGTATTCAATTCAATTTTGGGTTGCTGACTAAAATCCAAAGAGATCATTATTCTGGCAGAAAATCTACATGGATCTTTTGTATGTTTTCTCCAACTACTTCCTAACACAATCTTGATATTTAAAAAAAAATATGTAATCAATTTTATGTTATGCACAAAGAAGAGTAGACTTCACTAGTTGTTACTTGATTTTTTCAGTATTATTTGGTATATTCTCTATTTCAATCAACATAAGAAGTATGTCTATGAATTTGTTACGTAAAAAATATAGATAACCGTGAAATTAATTGATTTATATTGCCATCTTCCTTTGATAAGATGATTGTGATGTCAATTTTCTTCTCTCTACTCAAAGATTTTAGATTTGAAATGTGAGAATGAAGAACCTTTTGATAGGAGAATTATACTCTCTTAATAGACATACATGACACAAATACAAATCAGTTACATTGATATGTTTCAAATAGAACTCCCTTTGTTCCAATTTATGTGACACAATTTCCTTTTTAGTAAGATCCAAAGAGAATAACACATTTCTATATTTAGTACTAATAATTGTACTTTAAGATGCTCACTTTATTTCTAATGAGATGATTTATAGCCACAAGTTTTAAAAAATTATCTTTCTTTCTTAAATTTCATATCAAATCAAACAATGTCACATAAATTGAAACGGAGATGGTATATACTTGAGTTTTTTAAAAAAGGTCAACGTATGGGATACTTTTAATAGGCATCTAATAATTTACTATGATTTCATGTTCCTTATTCTTGATTTCTACTATTTCTCATCACCTTTTAAGGTCCAATTTCCAAATTAAACATAAATAAAAACAAAAAGGGGACTTAAGTGGTACAAATGAAACTATTGGGTTTTGCGTTATCTATTCTCATACTCCAAGGAGGTGATTTGTAATTTAGTAATCTATCAGGACGCTAAACGTATTATCCTTCATAAATCAGGTGATAAATTCAAATTAAGCAATTTTCAAAACAAAATAAATCACGCAATTAAGGCGGGAGAAGATGAACTAATCACCCATCTCTACATAAAGTGTGTCCTCCATAGTCCAACTTTTGTTCTAACTGAAAACTCAAAAAACCCAAAGCAACACGCATACGATTCTTTTGGGTTTTCTGCAGATGATCATTTTGTGATGGTGGTTATTGTCAATGGCGGATCCGTACAGAACGAACCCTCACGCTGCTTCATCTCTCGAATCCGAAGATATGTCTTCCTTTTTTCTTAATTTTCTTCAAGGTACGTCCGCTTCCGCTTCTGCGACTGCTGCGGCTGGTTTTTATAACCGATCGGTACCGGCGCCGGTGGCTGAGTCATCTTCTAGCCTCAATTTCTCCGATCCCGGTCGATTTTATGCTGCCGAGTTCAAGGAAGGCGTTGAGAATGTGTTTGCTTCTGCTGGCCTCGGGGATTGTGACGGTATGAATTCTAATAGGAGAGAGTTTTTGGAAGATGATAAGGTTGATAACTTTGGTTTCAGTAGCGAGGTGAGGTTTTTTTTGTTTATTCTGTACAAATAGAACTTGCTAGTTCTGGAAATTTCACTTTCATTTTCCTTTTTATGTTTAAATGATTCTCGTAAAATTTGTAAATTTCATTTACTCTGATTTTACAATCTGTTCAGGAGTGTGATGGACTTGACATGCCATCTGATCCGACTCATCCACGTTCCTCAAAGAGGAGTAGATCTGCTGAAGTTCATAATTTGTCCGAGAAGGTTCGCTTCAATTTTGAATCTTAAATTTGATGGTTTTCATCCTAAAAGTACATCTACCTATTTTATACATGATTAATTTTTGTGTGACAGAGGAGGAGGAGTAAGATCAATGAGAAACTGAAAGCATTGCAGAACCTAATTCCGAATTCTAACAAAGTATTCTTCAACATCTCAGCCTTTGAGCATTATTATATTTATTTATTGGTTTTTCTTTGCTATCATAATTGAGCTTTATTTATTTCACAGACTGACAAGGCATCTATGCTTGATGAAGCCATTGAATATCTGAAGCAACTTCAACTGCAAGTTCAGGTTAAACTTCTTGCTACTCCCCTTTGACTACTTCTAGTTGCTCGTAGTCTAGTAGATGTTATATGTTTTCAAACACGTTAAAAGAACATCTTGATAGGATTATGGCAGTGATGGCTCAACAGGAGTAGGTAATAAAGGTGTATCGTGTATGTATAATGTTAAGGAAAGTTAGTAACATATTCTAATTCTTACAGCGGAGCACAAAGTCACGGAATAAATACACTTATTTTTAAGTGAATATCTTTATTGGAAATTGAAAGTATAACACCATCTTTCTCTCTTTTATCTGCCTATTGCATGTTCAATTTTTATAAAAGTGTTCTTTGGTTGATTAATCATATTTTTTGGTGGTTGTTCTTGACAAAGGTCTTTGTTTGCTAGTGATATTACTGTAAATGCATGCCATTAACCTGAAGGAAGAGTATTAATATCAATGTAGGGATTCATATGTACTTTACTGACTTCTTTGAGAACTAATGAACCCTCATTAGAACTATGTGAATCGTCTCATTCAAACATTTATGTCTGTAAAAAGAGAACATTTTTATTTATGTTTTGTGTTCGATATCCCCCCCCCCACACACACACACACACACACACTGCAGGCTAGATTACTATAACCCCCTCCTTCGAAATTAATGACACCTTTTTATATTTGAAAACTTTTAATTTTAAATTTTCCATTTCTCTTACTGCACAAAAATATCATTGTATGTTTAAGATCATAAGATCCAACATTACTTTAGATATGTGGCATCCCCCCCCCCCCCCCCCTTAAATTGCATGCCCACAATGCCATATAAAGTGAAATGGAGGGAGAATTATCTTTTAAAAATCTAGCAAGTGAAAAATCAATAGCAGTGAGACGAGGTCGAGACCTCCAACTGGTCCCATACAATGTAAATTTGTGTGTAGCACCTCTTGTAAAAGTTTAAGCCATTAGAGAATGAACACTTAAATTTATTTAAAGTGGTCTTCTACATGAGTCAAAAGCAAAAGGCATACATAATACTTTGATGCATTTTGTATTCTATCCACTTTTGGAGAGTTTTATGTTTTAGGTGTGAGTCTATTATCATTGAAATACTTCCACAATGTCACAACTTTGCTCTTGCTAGTATCATTGTCCTCTCTCTGACTGGTAAAATAAAAGAACAGGGGCAGTGGAGCTTTGAAAAATCAAATCAGAATATGAAAAAGGAAAATAAAATAAAGAACATATTAATCTTAAATTGCATTTCTCTCAGCTGGATGCTATCACTGCTGCATGTGACAGAAATTAAATACTAGTCTCAACTCTTTAGATTAGTCAAAAACAGGTGCAGAAAGTTTATGTAGGTATCTTCCACAAAATGGAATGGAATGGAAAAGGTTGGTGTGTGTATTTCTGTGGTTATGTAACACATTGTCTAGACAAGTATGGCGCACACAACTTTGAGATATGATGTTACAGGCCTCATCATCTTCAGTTTTTTATAACTGTTGACACCCCAAAAGAAGCTAAATGAAATGGAGTGCTTTTGGTTTGGAGCCTTTCTTTAAATCCTTGGAGTTCTAAGTTGAGCTAGTAGGTGACGCTAAAGAGGTGAAAAACTTGTTGCTACTAGTCTACTAGGTTATGGAGCATTAGTGGGATAAGCTAAGAGAAAGTATGTATTGGTCTGGCATGAACATTCATTATGTTTCTTACTTTTGGCAGTATCATGGCCTGAAGTAGGTTAGAGGAAAAGGGATTGAATTGAGAAGTGTAAATGAAGAAGAAAAACCTCTCTTATATTCAAGAATTGTTTCGTATACAGTTTTAGATGAAGCACCCCTCTAAGTTCACTAGTTTCTTATTGCTCCTTTAGTTTGAATAGATCCATTTTAAACTGTTTTTTAGTAAATCTCATGCTATTAGCCATTTCTCTACCTTGCAATGAGCATTGCTTTGGCTTTAAGCTTAACATTTTTATTGTGTAACAACAAATTTTGTGCTTGAAAAAATAATCAAAGGTAGAAAATATTGCGACAAGTGTAGTATTTTATTTCAACTGTAGTGAATCTCGGTGATTCCTCGGATTTTTTTTCCAGAAATAAAATCAAGAGCCTCCTTTATACAATTCGGGCATTTCATTAAGAAACAAGTTTGCTTATCTCACTTTGATAGATTTGATCTTGACTTGTATTGAATTCAAGGGCTTCTTGTTATGAAACTGGTCCCTCTTATGGGTTATAGTGACCCCTATTTATAATAACAGGGATTCCATATGTGGAACATTCACAAATAAAAGTTCAGATATAACATATAAAAGAAATGGAGAAGATGATGTGAATTGTGCGAAGTGATATGCTCCATCCTTTAAATCTCACCAAGGTTTTCAGTCATTGTCTGATTTGTAGAGTCAGTTGGTGAATTTACTTTATAGTCTTATCTGTAATGTGGTTTCTTTCGGTTTCCCCCTTATAATATGTATTATTAAAACTTTTATGATTAGATGATTTCAGATAGGAAACCTCCTGAAATCCGGATGGATGCAAGTTTCCTCTCATACTCTTGCTACTTTGAATAGTTAGCTGTTCCTCTTATGATTTATTTACGAAAATGGTAATCTTTTGGCATAATCATCAAATCCCCTTGACGTTTTTGATCACATAGAAGACGAGGGCACTTCTGATGCATGTGAGTAGTTTGCATATATTGTGGCTCTTGAAATTGTGAAGTGCAAAAAATCTTATAATTACTTTTAATTTCATATAGTTGCGGAGAATAGGAAAATAGCTTAATAGTTCACTTGATATAATGGGTCAACAACATACCAAAATTTAATCTAGTAAATAAAAAGTACAGTGGTTCTTGTAATACCTAAAGAAATACTCCTCACTGTGTCATCCATCTCAAAGATCTAATGTGTTAACTTTCTCTCTTTCTGGGCCGTTGATGTTTGATGTCGATGACATGTAGTCATAAGCTATGACTAGTATGAAGCGACTTTCTGAGATCTAAGCACATGTGGATTATGATGAAGTCACTACTAGTTCATATCTGCCACTGTCCTCTTTAAAATTGCATAATAGAAACTTTCCGTTTGTGTCCTTTCTTTGGGTTTACAGATGCTTACCTTGAGGAATGGATTGAGTTTATACCCAGGATATGTTCCCGGGTCTATGCAGTCGGTGCAACTCCCATCTGGTAATGAATTTGATGGGAGAAGTTTTATGCTGAGTGCAAATGGAGGAGCTACACTTCCTGTGAATCGAGAAATGCCACAGACTGCATTTGAAATTTCCAATCAGAATCCATCAGGCAAACCAACAATAACCTCACATAACACAGAAAACGCTGTAGCTTTAGAAACTACAATTCAGAATCATTATGGAGTTCTTAACCATTTAGCATCTTCTAAGGTAAGCTGCTTGTAGTATTTCATTGAGATCTCTTAAGTTAAAAGCTAAAGCAATTCTCTTACTTATACAGGACATGTGCCGAGACAATACACTATCAAGATTGCATTTAGATATGAGTTGCTCTGGAAACAATTCATCATCAGGAGTGTCGTCTTAACCAAAATTTCACAGGATCAAATATTTGAGGAGTTGGTGTAGATGGAATTAACTATTGATACTGTGAAACTCCAATTGTTTGTACATCTCCAAAGTTAAATATTTGCCTCATGGTCCTGAGATGCACTGATCCTTGATTGTTATGCTCGATGAGCACGAACAGAACTGTGCTTTTGTAACTGTTGAAACTTGGACTTGACAAAATAACTAGTGTTGGAAAAATAACTGTTCAAACTTTTAGCTACTTTTCGTGTACAACGTTCGAGTTCTTACAGCAACTTGAAAATGAAAAATATACTACTGTCTTGAATAGATGTCGTTTCTGGATAATTTCAGAATCTCAGATGTCTTGCTATGGAAAGTTTTTCCATCCTCTTGGAGGATCAATAGTGTTCCCACTTACCTCCATCGTGACTCAAACAGGTACATAAAAATCTGGTACCATTCTCTTCTATAATTATGATGAATGGATTTGAATTGTATGCTTTACAGTGAGGGTACCACTTTTACTCAGACGGACATATTTATTTGTCTTCAATATATTACTATAAATAAACAGACTATACTAAACTGTAAAGCCTGGACTATGTATACACTCTTTTTTATAGTAAGGTCTATTTCCCTCAATTGAACTTTTCACTAAATGGAATCCGCCACAGAATTTACTTTTTCCCCAATATAAGCATTGGATGTAGCATCTTCTACTATAAAAAATAAGGAGTAATTGAAAAAAATAATCAAAATAAATAAAGGTCCACTAACAATAATATCAATGAATATAAAGATAAGCATAAATTGAACTAGATCACCCACTCCACAACATTCTCTTTTAATCATTTCTCAACTCTTTAATTAACAAAAAAGAAACTAAAAGTGACGCAACTATTATCAAAGTGGGAAATTGAGAAAAAGGTGGTATCAAGCTCAATTAAAATGAAGCTAAAGTATCCACCAACCATCTTTAAATGAAAGATCTAACCAAACAATCCAACAAAAAAGTATAGGAAAAGAAGCCAAGATAAAAACTACTCTTTCCGTCTCAAAATAAAATTTATTTTAAAAAAATATAGCTCATATCATAAAATTAATATATATTTCTAATTATACCCTATACTTTTATCTTCTTAATGAACTTGGTTATTGCTAAATTATACTTATTTTAAGACGAAGACAGCAATAAAAAGGCAAAAATCAATCAATAAAGAAATGCCACCAACTATACCATTTACTATATGGTTACGTCCATTAATAACTCCATACTTGTATAGATACTAATATACGTTTCTTAATGAATGTCACAATAAAGTAAGCTAATCAAGAATCCAGTGGGGGCAATTTTCTCCATTTCTACCAGTCCTATCATTACAGCTCCCTCCCCCCCCCACCCACCCACTCCCAATCTCCATGGTCCCAAAACTCCCTCACAGCTTAGCTCCAAAGATGACTTGTACTGTAACAAGCCACTGTCTCTACCATCAACACTAGAGTCCGTAGTCCCCACCATAGTGCCACATGCATTATCCCATTACCATATAATACTTTGTCTTGCTCCTCCAACGGTTCTTTGTTAATCAACGCCTAATTCTTCTTCCCGGAGCTGGAGGAGAAGAAGAAAGGGGAATTATACTATGTCGGGGTTTCTGACTGATGAACTTTCTAAAAGAACTTCAATTTTTGGTTTACGTTTATGGGTTGTTTTGGGTATTTGTGTAGGAGCTGCAATTGTGCTTGTTCTGTTTCTTATCTCACTATGGTTCACTTCCAAACGTAGCACTAGTAAAAATACCCTTTCAGTTTCAGCTAAGAAAAACCCCAATATCCCTAAAGTATCCAAGGAAATTCAGGAAATCCGAATCGACCCAATTCGGACTCTGCCGGAAAACCCGAAATTACTACCTGCTCCGATTCCGGAACCTGATTCTTTCGAGGAGAAAACCCAGAATTCCGATGATTATCAGAGGGCACTCATTGAGATCGGAAAGGGTCAGAAGATTGCCAATCCGGGTCGGGTTGGGCAAGGTGGCGGGTCTAGTCATGGTAGTGAGGAAGCTCGGTCTAATGAGCAGGCTATCATTGCTGTGCCGGAGGTTTCGTATTTGGGGTGGGGTCATTGGTATACACTGAGAGAGCTTGAAATTTCAACAAATTATTTTGCTGAGGAAAATGTGATTGGTGAAGGTGGGTATGGAATTGTTTACCGTGGAGTTATGGAAGATAACAGTAAAGTTGCTGTTAAGAATTTGCTCAATAACAGGTGCACTATTCAAAGTTCTTTCCTCTTCTGTGAATTGGTTATATATTGATAACATAATGTTTCAAATATGTTTATGATTCTTGCATGTGTCTTGACATGTCATTAATGTAAAGTGTGTTTTTTTAAGTAATATGGCGTTGTTCATGTGTTAAATGTGGTATCTTTTGGGTTTTGGGGCTTAATTACTTACATAATAGGATTAACAACAACATCATACTCAATGTAATCCCACAAGTGGGGTCTACGCAGATTTTTCTCCTACCTTGTAGAGATAGAGAGGCTTTTTCTGATAGACCCTCTGTTTAAAAAGCATAGTAAAGCAGTTTGAAGAAGGGAATACAGAAAAGAAAGCAGTAATTATAGGATTAGTTTATGAAAAAATCTGTACCTTTTGTTCTGTCTTCAGGTTTATATATGTAGTTTTCTTTTCAGGGGACAAGCAGAGAAGGAGTTTAAGGTTGAAGTTGAAGCAATTGGTCGGGTTCGGCACAAGAATTTGGTGAGGTTACTCGGTTACTGTGCTGAGGGTGCTCACAGGTAATTCAGTTTCAGTTGTCTGCAGCTTAATACTGTCGGTTATAGTATTATGGTGGTGATTGTCTTTTAGGATATTTTTGACTTGTAATTATTCTGGAGATTCTGCTTTTGAGCTTGAGTTGGGATGAATTACTCAATACGGTCAATATGCTATTTCAGGATGCTTGTGTATGAGTATGTGGACAATGGGAACTTGGAACAGTGGCTCCATGGAGATGTAGGGCCTTGCAGTCCTCTTACATGGGAAATTAGAATGGATATCATTCTTGGAACAGCTAAAGGGTATACAACTGCTAAATTTTTTTTGTTAACCTTTTTTTTTTTGAGCGGTAATTGTTTTTGTACTTTGTGTTAAAGGGAGTAACTAAAGCTTGGTGAGTCTTACAGGTTAACCTATCTTCATGAGGGCCTTGAACCCAAGGTTGTTCACCGTGACATCAAATCAAGCAATATTTTGCTTGATAAGCAGTGGAGTCCAAAAGTGTCAGACTTTGGCTTGGCAAAGCTTTTGGGTGCTGAGAAGAGCTACGTTACTACTCGGGTTATGGGAACATTCGGGTTAGTGCTTGACATTTCAAAACCCACTATCATTGTTTAGTTGCTAATATTGTGTTTCCCTTGGAAAATAAATTGCTGATGACCCCTTTATCAGTTACGTTGCTCCGGAATATGCTAGCACTGGCATGTTGAATGAGAGAAGTGATGTGTATAGTTTTGGAATTCTTATTATGGAAATCATTTCTGGAAGGAATCCGGTGGATTACAGCCGTCCTCCTGGAGAGGTTTGTCTCATATGATCAATGTTAGTTCCTAGTTTCAGGAAACCTCTTTAATATTTGTTCCAGTTTTGTTCTGACTCTGCTTAGTCAATCCGGCTCACAGGTAACTCTGGTTGATTGGCTTAAAATAATGGTTTCAAACCGGAATGCCGAGGGCGTTGTGGATCCCAAGATACCTGAGAAGCCTTCGTCAAGAGCTCTGAAACGTGTTCTTTTGGTAGCATTACGCTGTGTTGATCCCAATGCTCAGAAGAGGCCAAAAATGGGACAAGTAATACACATGCTTGAAGCTGATGACTTTCCCTTCCGTGATGTAAGCTCTTGTTTTCCTCCAGGCCCTTGAATTTATTGTCACATTGATTAGTCACGAGAGTCGACCGCTAAGAATGCATTTGGGGTAATGGAATGATGTGAACTGAATCTAAGACTTAATTTGGATGTAATTGCGCTGTTAGCTAAAATGTAGTCACGAGTATCTCTTTTCTAAATGATCACTTAATGCATGATATGACATGAAGATATTTTCTGTTAGAATTATGTTTGTTACACCATAAATTAGATCACATTAATGAACCTCCTTACGTACCCTATTACCAACTACCAAGCACATGGACTGCTTTGAATATGTTGTAATGTGCTGGTGAGATCTGATCAAAGTTGTGATGTCTATTTTATTACATCATGGACCAACACTGTTATATTTTTGCATAGTGCTTGTGTTAATTAGTACAAGGATCATCTCATCAGTTTCCTATCAATACCCTTACTTGGTTTTCATTCACTTCCTCTGAATAACTGTGGCATTGATACAGGAGCGACGGGCTTCAAAGGAGCATGGTGGTCGTTTATATCGTGATGGTGCTAAAGAGAGGGTAATGGACAAGCGTGTAATTGAATCAGGTGATAGCAGTGGATATGAAAGTAGTGTGCAAACCAACTGGTCTTTGGTCAAGAAACAAGAAACCGATGATGAGCATTAGCAGCACCAACAACAAGGTCAATTCCAACCCCGTTGTTTCGTCTGTCATTCATTTGGAGCTAGCACATGTAAATATCATTCACTTAACTTCTGCATTTTAGTTAATTCACCAGTCATGATAGGTTTTGTAGCATAGCCCTTGTTATTAGTATATGTAATTGCCTTCAGTTTTGCTTTGAACATGACTGTTATTTTACCAGTGAAAGGACATGATTGTATTGTATCGAATTTACCACAAACGAGTTTAACTTGTGTGCACTGACAATGTCCTTTTATTACTACATCGTGTTAAAATAACCTACTAACAGTATACCGTAATCCTAATATGGTAACATAAAAAGAGCACTTTTATTACTAACTGCATTATATGGATTTTACCAGGATTAGAAAAGAAAAGCTACATCTTTTTTGGGGGACATATAAGATGGAGTCATTTTCTTGTGGACAGATAATGTCACCGACAGAAAGCTACATTCAATAAAAAGAAGATTCTTAAACAATTAACAACTGAAATTAGTCAAAATGTACGACCAAACAGTTGATTTTTCCTTAATCAGACAAAGGTTAACACAAATGTTCTTTTGGTGATTTGGGTTCTGAGGTAGGGTCTGATTGAAGTGTTTCATGGGATGCCTACTGTAATGGCGGACCGCCCCTGCCTTTACGCTATTATAGTGTGATGTGAGCGGTCCAAATTTGTTGAATCTTTCTCAATCATCTTACCTGGAACTTTTTTACTAAGAGAATTTAAAATATTGCTCAACAAGTAAATATCAAAGAACTTTTTTTTTTGATGACAAGGGAAACCGCAGCCGCTACCCTTTGGGTGCGCACAAGGTAAAACCCCCGCTCCTATGCGATAGCTCGCAAACCACATAGGATAGGTAACCCGCATTAGGCAAGCCCGATGCGACGAGCTCGGCCCAGAAGCAAACCCCTTGCTTTCGCTGGCAAGGGGTTTCGAACTTGAGACCTCCAGCATGGAAGTCCCAAACCCAAACCACTGAGCCACCCCGATATAATATTTCCGCAAATGAAATGTTAATTAATTCTCCTTGAACAAAGATGGCTCCGCCACTAGGAGTGTCCCTACGAGCACTAAAGTCTTGAGTATGCTACAAATTACAAAAGGAGGAAATGAGGTAGGTGTCCTTTGTATTTGGCAGCTACTATAGATGATCCTTTTGACAGCTAGAGATTTGAGATTTTGGACCCATCAATTTAATTATGTTTTCTAGTTTTGTCATGATGTAGAAAATAGTCGTTATGTTTTATAAGTTATTTAAGATGTTTATTTGTTTTCAACAACTTTGATTTGGAGTAATACATGACCAAACATTTAGGGGCGCCTCCAACCAAACAGTCCTATCTTGACTTTCTGAACAGTTCTGCATGTGAAAATGTGAATGGGAAAATTCTCTTCCACTGTTTGGTTTTGTCAAAAGAGAGAAGAAAATGGAGGGAGTAAAGAATATTATAAAGAATAAATCGAGAGAGCGGTTAGATAAACGTTATTCTTCTATTCATTAGAGATCTCAGGTTTAAATTCCTAGAATTGAAAAAGTAATACATTCGCACTATGCTATTTTATAAAAACAAATATACAAAACGAAATTGAAGGGATCAAAACTTAAATAGAGATCTCAGTCTCGAACATTCTTTCTTGCTCTTACATATCTACAACACAAAAAAATTTCTTTTGCATCTCTCTCTCTTGATGAAACAACACATGCAAAGTGAATCATTTTGCTGCTTTGTTCCCTCTTTTCACTTTTCCATTTTTCCTAAAGAAAGGCCCAAATTGTTACATAGAATAGAAGCTAGCTAGAGCTAGTACCTAGTAGTATCATTGCCAGAGTAAGAATTAAAGGAGCTTACTAGTGGCCATAAACAAAAATAATTTGAGCGAGGAACTTTTAGACTATGAATTTAGTGGTTCTTCTGATATATGATTAAGTACATTTAACCTTCAATTAGATGAACCGTTTATTCTTCGACCATTTATATAGGAAAAAGAGTTATATTTAGACTATTGCGAGAACAAATGTTACCTTCGAATATGAAGTAACTAGCCGTAAGAAAATTTACAATCAACAATTCACATAAGGTTAAATATGTTTAGAAAAATATTATATGGACCAAAATCAAAATTTGGTGATATATTGTGAAAAGGTTTAACTTTACCCTTTGTACTCGTTCATAACTTCCTCATTATAGTTTTTGTTTGGCTCCAAATTGCATTCAACAAAGCCTTTTGATGTTGACTTTCTACTTGATTGACAAATAGTGAATTACAAAGGAATGTCACATCCCATAAGTTTTCTACTTAGGTCCATTTTTATTAGCATAATGGACAACATCCCTTACAATATTTCCAGACAAAAAAAGCATTAAAATAGAAATAGGTACAAATTGAAAGGTTCTTTATTAGCCAATTGTCAAATTATATATCTTGTTAGCATATGCTTGAAGTTTTATGGAGACATTTCAAGAACTTGTAAAGATATAGGAACATAACTATCTTGGAAATAACAAAATAAACCGGCCAAGAAAGTGAACAATGATTAGATGGAGGATTATGCCAATAAGATACCTATACAAAAAAAACAAAACAAAATGGTCTAATCCAACTTAAGAATAAACCCCAAAAGCTTAACAATGCACCATGTCATTAGTTATATATATGTGCATACTAGAACAGATGAAGAAAATAACACAAGAAATTGAGTTTTGAAGCAAAAAAAGTGAATCCAAAAATGGGATTCTTATTGTTCTTATTGTTCCTCTTAGCTAATTCAGCCTCAGGAAAAAGAACCACTTACATAATCCATATGGACAAGTCATTCATGCCTAAGGCTTTTACTAGTCATGAGCAATGGCACTCTTCAGTTCTTGAAACTGCCATGTTGAAAGATACAGCAGGTGAAAGTTCTACCAAGCCGACTAGGCTTCTTTATTCGTATGACAATGCATTTCATGGATTCAGTGCTGTTATTTCTGAGGATGAATTGCAAGTTCTTGAAAAATTGCCTGGTTTTGTCTCGGCTTATGCTGATAAAATGGTCACTCTTGACACTACTCACACGTTTGAGTTTCTCGGTCTGAATCCTGAGTCAGGACTATGGCCAGCTTCTCATTATGGCGAGGACGTGATTGTTGGTGTCATTGATACTGGAGTATGGCCAGAGAGTCGGAGTTATAAGGACGATGGGATGACTGAAATTCCGTCAAGATGGAAGGGTATATGTGAACCTGGACAAGAATTTAATGCTTCAATGTGTAACAATAAGTTAATTGGTGTTCGATACTTCAACAAAGGAGTTAAAGCTGCAAATCCTAATATTACAATTAGTATGAATTCAGGCAGGGATACACAAGGTCATGGCACACATACTTCATCAACCATTGGTGGAAATTATGTGGAGGGTGCTTCATTTTTTGGCTATGCAACTGGCACAGCAAGAGGGGTCGCTCCACGTGCTAGGCTTGCTATGTATAAGGTAATTTTTGATGAAGGACTCTTTGCTTCTGATGTGCTTGCTGGTATGGATCAAGCTGTTGCTGATGGTGTCGATGTGATATCCATCTCTATGGGATTTGATAATGTTCCATTGTATGAAGACCCTATTGCCATAGCTTCATTTGGTGCTATGGAGAAAGGCGTTCTTGTTTCCGCTTCAGCAGGAAATGCAGGTGTCACTCCTGGAATACTCCACAATGGAATCCCCTGGCTCTTGACTACTGCTGCTGGCTCTATTGATCGCGTCCTCTCAGGAAAATTAACTCTTGGAAATGGACAAGTGATCACTGGATGGTCAATGTACCCTGTTAGCGCCCTTGTCAACGAGTTCCCACTTATCTACAACGAGTCAATATCGAGTTGCAATTCAACTTCCTTATCCAGCTTCAATTATGGAATCATCATATGTGAAAATGGACATTTCCTTGATCAAATAAATACCATTGCTGAATCCTCTGCCCCTGCTGCTATATACATCTCTGACGATCCAAGAATTTTCCAGAGAGAAGAATTTGCATATCCTGGTGTTGTTATCAGTCCTGAAGATGGTGCAGCTGTGATCAGTTATGCTAAATCTGGTGCCAATCCTGTTGCCAGCATTAGCTTCCAGCAGACATTTGTGAGATCAACACCAGCACCCGTCGTTGCAACTTACACATCACGAGGTCCTTCACCGAGCTATCAAGGAATCTTGAAGCCAGACATAATGGCACCAGGGTCATTAGTCTTAGCATCCTGGATTCCTAATAGTTATACAGTTTCGATATATCCAGATATTGGATTGAGCAGTGAATTCGCGATGGTTTCAGGAACATCCATGGCTTGTCCACATTCCTCTGGCATTGCTGCACTTCTTAAAGGTGCACATCCTGAATGGAGTCCAGCAGCAATCCGATCTGCAATGATCACTAGTGCCATCAACATTGACAACACAAATTCTCCCATCAAAGATTCAGGCCTAAACTACAGTATCGCGACTCCTCTGGCAATGGGAGCAGGACTAGTTAATCCAAACTTCGCCCTGAATCCAGGCCTTATCTATGATGCCACACCACAAGACTACATAAACCTTTTATGCGCCATGAAATTCACTCACAAGCAAATCTTGACAATCACAAGATCATCAACCTACACTTGTCAAAATGCATCTTCTGATCTTAACTACCCATCATTCATCGCCCTATACACAAATGAAACTACAGCAACACTGAGTCAAAAGTTCGTTAGGACAGTGACAAATGTTGGCAATGGTCCTGCTAACTATTCTATTAATATGGTCGTGCCATCAAACACAAACATAAGTGTTTATCCTTCAAGATTGTCTTTCAGCAGCAAGTATGAGAAGCTAAGTTATACATTGACAGTTGAATATAATGGTAACAAAACTGGAGAAGTTGTATTCGGATCGATAACTTGGGTGGATGTAATTGGTCTCCATGCTGTAACAAGTCCAATTGTGGTTGCACCAATGATCCATACTTGGTAATCACAGGGATTTTTAGACTATGAATTTAATGGTTCTTCTGATATATGATTAAGTATATTTGACCTTCAATCAAATGAAATGCAAGTTCTTGATCCATTTTTAGATTGTGAGAACAAATATTATCTTCAAATATGAAGTAACTAGCCGTACAAACCTAAATATACATGGCTAATTAAATAGTGTAACGGTTAATATACATTAATGTTGAGAAAATTTAAAATCACAGGATCAAAAGTGCACATCTTAAGTAATTGAAATTTGAAGGTTAAATGTGGTTAGATAAATATGATAAGGACCAAAATCAAAATTTGGTGATATTTGAGTGACTAAAATTGCAAATTTCCCATATTCTTCTTAATTTGGCAAAGTTTTTACTAACCACTTGCATAAATATACCTTCTTCATTACCAATACCAATAAGTTCATACCTTTTTGCTCTCAATTATGGATCACTATTATAAAAAAAAAATCAAAGCAAACTTATGGACCACTATTAGTTAAACAACGGATTAGGGCCAAAAATATCCTTGAATTATTCGAAAAGGTTTATATATATCCATCACTCACCTATTGGGTTTAAATTACCCCTCAGTCTACCTTTATGGTCCATTTTTACTATTAAAACCAACATCGTTTTATTTTTTAATTATTTTTATTAATATTTATTACGGGACATCTTCCTATTGGATGAAATTAAATTGCCCCTGAACTATGCGAAATAGACCATTTATATCCTTCATTACATTTTGGGATAAAAAATACCCCCGCAGTTATCCCAGGAGACCACAAATACCCTCAAGAGTTAACACCCCAATTTTTTAGTGACGTGGCAAGCCACATGGGACTAATCCCTCCACCTAAGCATTGCCAACTAAGATTCACTACAAAAGAACTTGACTTTTAGTGGCGACAAAGTCGCCACAAAATCTCAAAATATTGCCACTAAAGGTTATGAGTGGTTTTTAGTGGCGACTAAGGCTCCAACAACAATTCGCTAGTAAAACCTATTTTTTCAACAAAAAAATATGATAATTAATTTTCGATTGTGACCTAATTTTCTAAAATAAATAACTTGCAATATCCATATTAAAAACATCCAATATTATTACGAAAAATAATCAAAATTACTTCTCGATTCAAATCTCCTACTATATATACATAATGCATCATTGTACATTTTATACATTTACATATGACATAAAAATAAAACATATAGTGTCTTCAAACTCCTACTTAATCGATATCATATTTGGTTTTTTAAAAACAATGAAGAAAAAAACACAAAACTAGAATTTAATGTTAAAAACTTTTAGTGACGATTTTCTGGGCTTTTGTGGCGACTGTTGTTGCCGCTAAAGGTCTAGTTCTTTTGTAGTGAATCCTAGTTGGCAACGCTTAGGTGGAAGGATTAGTCCCACGTGGCTGGCCACGTCAACAAAAATTTGGGGTGTTAACTCTTGAGGGTATTTGTGGTCTCTTAGGATAACAACAAGAGCATTTTTGATACCAAACTATAACGAAGGGTATAAATGGTCTATTTCATATAGTTCGGGGGCAATTTTGACCCTTTTCCGTACATAGAATAGAAGCTAGCTAGTGCTAGTACCTAGTAGTTATTGCCAGAGTAAGAATTAAAGGAGCTTACTAGTGGCCATAAACAAAAATAATTTGAGCTGAGGAATTTTTAGACTATCAATTTAGTGGTTCTTCTAATATATGATTAAGTACATTTAACCTTCAATTAAATGAAATGTTTATTCTTCATGCATTTACATAGAAAAAAGAGTTATACTTAGGGCTCGTTTGGCCATGCGATATGGTATCATCATATGGAATCATGAGATGAAATTGAAGTTTTGTTTGGACATGCAATATGAATTTTTTGTGGTGTATATTTTCTCATAAACATAAAAATCTCATAAGTTGTAAAACTATTAAAATAGCCCCAATTGTTTATTCAATCCTATCAAATAAACAAAAAATTATAAAATCACATAATAAATTATTACAAAGCTATTTGTTCTCCACTTAAGTAATTGTTTCATCTAACTTTAATTTAATAAAAAAAATTGAACATAAATTGTAGTGTACTAGTCTTTAATATAATCCTCCCACATAGTACGGACAATTTCCTCATGTTGAAGTTACATTATTACAAAGTTATTTGTGAGTTAAAGTGACTATATGTTGGTGAGAATAATAAATTTTATGTCGGTGAGAATAATAAATTTTAAAAAGTAATGATGTGATTATAAATTTTATTTACATATGAAATAAATGGTTAGTAGATATAAATGTGGGGTTGTTTTAACAACATATAAACTCGTAGATCAATTTTTGTATTAAAATATCTCAAATCATGATATGGAATTCCCATATAATTCCATATCATGGTTTTTGAAGAATATGAAATCACATCTCATGAGATGGAATCAACGTACAATTGCATGTCCAAATGCTGATTCCATCTCACGATACCATAATGTGATATTGTATCACATGGCCAAACGCCTACTTAGACTATTTTGAGAACAAATATTACCTTCGAATATGAAGTAACTAGCCGTAAGAAAATTTACAGTCAACCGTTCACATTTCAAATAATTAAAGGTTAAATGTGGAGATAAGGCCCAAAATAGTCCTTCATCTTTGGGTTAAGACTCAAAGTCATCCTTGAGTTTTCACATGGAGCACTAATAGTCCCTTATGTTTGCAATATTGGTATACTTTTGGTCCTCCCCTAAACTTTTGCCTATTTTTTAACATTAATTTTGTTCATAATTTTATGTAAGGAATGTCCCATCATTTTTTAAATATATTTAGTAGAAATAATAACTCTATGTGAGGGAGGTGAGAAGCAGAGCACCTTATTCTGTTCGGTATAAATATTATTGTAGCTAAGCTAATAACATTTTAACATATGACATTGCAAGAAAAGAAAAAATTGTACTATTGTACGTGAAATCGTTGTGATGAACCTCTCAACATTACCTGCAATATTACGATTTCTACTAAACAAAATAAGGTGTTTTTCTTCTCACAATCTCTCACATGGAGTTATTATTTCTACTAAATATATAAAATGACGATTAAACATTCCATGCATAAATTATGAATAAAATCAATATTAAAAATAGACAAAATTTTGAAGGAGGACCAAAAGTGCATCAATATTGCTAACATGAGGGACTATTAATGCTCCATGTGAAAACTCAAGGATGACTTTGAGTCTTAGCCCAAAGATGAAAGGACTATTTTGGGCCTTTTCTCGTTAAATGTGCTTTGAAAATATATTATACTGACCAAAATCAAAATTTGGTGATAATTTGCGAAAAGGTTTAACTTTGCCCTGTGTACTCATTCATGACCTCCTCATCATAATTTTGGTTTCGCTCCAAATTGCATTCAACAAAGCCTTTTGATGTTGACTTTCTACTTGGGTCCATATTTACTAGCCTAATGGACATCTCTTACAATGTTTCCAGACAAAATGTGCATTAATACATATTTTGTTAGCATATGCTTGAAGTTATATGGTGACATTTCAAGAACTTGTAGATATAGGAATATAACAATCTTGGAAATAACAAAATAGACCGGCCAAGAAAGTTAACAATGATTAGATGGAGAATTATACCAATAAGATACCTATACAAATAAAACAAAACAATATGGTCTAATCCAACTTAAGAATAAACCCCAAAAGCTTAACAATGCTCCCATGACAGTAGTATAAATATGTGCACACTAGAACAGATAGATGAAGAAAATAACACAAGAAATTGAGTTTTGAAGCAAAAAAAAAGTAAATCCAAAAATGGGATTCTTATTGTTCTTATTGTTCCTCTTAGCTAATTCAGCGTCAGGAAAAAGAACCACTTACATAATCCATATGGACAAGTCATTCATGCCTAAGGCTTTTACTAGTCATGAGAAATGGCACTCTTCAATTCTTGAAACTGTCAACTTGAAAGATACAGCAAGCGAAAGTTCTACCAAGCCGACTAGGCTTCTTTATTCGTATGACAATGCATTTCAGGGATTCAGTGCTGTTATCTCTGAGAATGAATTGCAAGTTCTTGAAAAGTTGCCTGGTTTTGTCTCGGCTTATGCTGATAAAATGGTCACTCTTGACACTACTCACACGTTTGAGTTTCTCGGTCTGAATCCTGAGTCAGGACTATGGCCAGCTTCTCATTATGGCGAGGACGTGATTGTTGGTGTCATTGATACTGGAGTATGGCCAGAGAGTCGGAGTTATAAGGATGATGGGATGATTGGAATTCCGTCAAGGTGGAAGGGTATATGTGAGCCTGGACAAGAATTTAATGTTTCAATGTGTAACAAGAAGTTAATTGGTGTTCGATACTTCAACAAAGGAATTAAAGCTGCAAGTCCTAATATTACAATTAGTATGAATTCAGGCAGGGATACACATGGTCATGGCACGCATACTTCATCAACTGTTGGTGGAAACTATGTCGAGGGTGCTTCATTCTTTGGCTATGCAACTGGCACAGCAAGAGGGGTCGCTCCACGTGCTAGGCTTGCTATGTATAAGGTGATTTTTGATGAAGGACGCTTTGCTTCTGATGTGCTTGCTGGTATGGATCAAGCTGTTGCTGATGGTGTCGATGTGATATCCATCTCTATGGGATTTGATAATGTTCCATTGTATGAAGACCCTATTGCCATAGCTTCATTTGGTGCTATGGAGAAAGGCGTTCTTGTTTCCGCTTCAGCAGGAAATGCAGGTGTCACTCCTGGAATACTCCACAATGGAATCCCCTGGCTCTTGACTACTGCTGCTGGCTCTATTGATCGTGTCCTTTCTGGAAAATTGACTCTTGGAAATGGACAAGTGATCACTGGTTGGTCAATGTACCCTGCTAGTGCTGTTGTCAACGAGTTCCCACTTATCTACAACGAGTCAATATCGAGTTGCAATTCAACTTCCCTATCCAGCTTCAATTATGGAATCATCATATGCAAAAATGGATATTTCTTCGATCAAATAAATATCATTGCTAAATCCTCTGCCCCTGCTGCTATATACATCTCTGACGATCCAAGCATTTTCGAGGGAGAAGAAATTGCATATCCTGGTGTTGTTATCAGCCCTGAAAATGGTGCAGCTGTGATTAGTTATGCTAAATCTAGTGTCAATCCTGTTGCCAGCATTAGCTTCCAACAGACATTTGTGAGATCAACACCAGCACCCGTTGTTGCATCTTATACCTCACGGGGTCCTTCGCCGAGCTATCAAGGAATCTTGAAGCCAGACATAATGGCACCAGGGTCATTAGTCTTGGCATCCTGGATTCCTAATGTTCATGCAGCTTTACTATATCCAGCTATCGGATTGAGCAATGAATTCACGATGCTTTCAGGAACATCCATGGCTTGTCCACATTCCTCTGGCATTGCTGCACTTCTTAAAGGCGCACATCCTGAATGGAGTCCAGCAGCAATCCGTTCTGCAATGATCACTAGTGCCATCAACATTGACAACACCAATTCTCCCATTAAAGATTCAGGCCTAAACTACAGTATCGCGACTCCTTTGGCTATGGGAGCAGGGCTAGTTAATCCAAACTTCGCTCTGAATCCAGGCCTTATATATGATGCCACACCACAAGACTACATAAACCTTTTATGCGCCATGAAATTCACTCACAAGCAAATCTTGACAATCACAAGATCATCAACCTACACTTGCCAAAATGCATCTTCTGATCTTAACTACCCATCATTCATCGCGCTATACACAAATGAAACTACAGCAACACTGAGTCAAATGTTCGTTAGGACAGTGACAAATGTTGGCAATGGTCCTGCTAACTATTCTATTGATATGGTCGTGCCATCAAACACAAACATAAGTGTTTATCCTTCAAGATTGTCTTTCAGCAGCAAGTATGAGAAGCTAAGTTATACATTGACAGTTGAATATAATGGTAACAAAACTGGAGAAGTTGTATTCGGATCGATAACTTGGGTGGATGTAATTGGTCTCCATGCTGTAACAAGTCCAATTGTGGTTGCACCAATGATCCATACTTGGTAATCACAGGGATTTTTAGACTGAGTTTAATGGTTCTTCTGATATATGATTAAGTATATTTAACCTTCAATCAAATGAAATGCAGGTTCTTGATCCATTTTTAGATTGTGAGAACAAATATTATCTTCAAATATGAAGTAACAAACCGTACAAACCTAAATATGCATGGCTAATTAAATGGTGTAATGGTTAATATACATTAATGTTGAGAAAATTTACAATCACATGGATCAAAAGTGCACATTGTAATTAATTGAAATTTGAAGGTTAAATGTGGTTAGATAAATATTATAAGGACCAAAATCAAAATTTGGTGATATTTGAGTGACTAAAAGTGCAAATTTCCCATATTTAGCCTCTTGCATAAATATACCTTCTTCATTACCAATACCAATAAGTTCATACCTTTTTGCTCTCAATTATGGATCACTATTATAGAAAAAAAATAAATCAAAGCAAACTCATGGACCACTATAAATTAAACAATCTTGTTTGAACACGTAAAATTTACAAAAAGGACATGGTCGAGATTTAATTTACCTTATATTTCTAGAAAAGGTTTAACTTTTACAAAAAGGACAAATTGAATGGGTTCTGTATTAGCCAATTGCCAAATTATCTTGTTAGCTTATGCTTGAAGTTTTATGGGGAGGTTTCAAGAACTTGTAAAGATATAGAAACATAACAATCTTGGAAATAACAAACTAGACGGCCAAGAAAGTTAACAATGATTATAATTTGTTGAGATGGTTGTTACCCGCAGTATTTTATTGTATTGTTAGTTTAAATACAATTTATTATGATTGTTGCTTAAATTCTAGAGAAAATTACAGAGATAGCAAACATAATAGACATAATAAGGTTCTATAGTTATTGTTTCGATAATTGCGCTCCATAACTATAGTTGTATTTGCTATAGAGGCTGCAGTGGTATATTTCTGCTCGTTTGTATATTTCGCTTGCGAATATACAAATAGGGTAAGTATATATAAATTCTATATTTATACATTTAGGAATTTTTCAGAACTCTGTTTGTATATTTCACTTGGCAATATACAAACATGATAATTTATTATGAATTTTTCATAAATCGTATACAAATAGCGAATTATAAATTAGAGAATTTTTCTTACAAACATATACAAAATACTGGATTTATACAATTAGGAACCGAATTATACAGATTCTGAATTTATATAAATTAGCGAATTATACAAATCAGGCTAATAGCAAGATTGGGCGAAACTATAACTACGAATTATAATTTTTCTAAATAGTAGTTATAGCATTTAATATGGTTTAAATGTTTGCTATTCTGCACAATTTTCCCTAAATTCTATTGTACAGTATCGTTTAAATCTATCGTTAGGTAAGGAGGAAAAAAACCATTTTATGTAACGATCAATTTGGTGTGATCGCGTCGTTACCTTAATATTTTCTTCTCATTTTGTCTTTATTTATTATTTAATAATTATGTTTTATCTTTTACCCTACTTTTTCATGGTAGTTCTACCCAATCCCTACTTTTCTTATAGGTTTGTCATTCAAATTATGGATGTGTGACATTATGTAACGATAGAGAACGATACAATCTATCTAAACAATATATTCATTAAAACAATACAATACAATACAATACGATACATTATGAAACAATACGTAACAACATCCAAACAAAGTGTTAGTAATTGATGGAGGATTCTACTAATAATGATACCTATGCAAATAAAAATAAAACAAAATGGTCTAATCCAACTTAAGAATGAAACCCCAAAATTGGTTTTCAAAGCAGAACAATGCTCCATGGCCTTAGTATAAATATGTGCACATTGGAGCAAATGAAAAAAATAACACAAGAAATTGAGTTTTGAAGCAAAAAATGGGATTAGTTAAAGGAGTGCCTCTTCTTTGTATGTTGTTCTTATTGTTCCTCTTAATTAGCTAATTCAGTATCAGCAAAAAAGAACCACTTACATTATCCATATGGATAAATCATTCATGCCTAAGGCTTTTACTAGTCATGAGCTATGGCACTCTTCAATTCTTGAAACTGTCAAGTGGAAGTTCTATCAATCCGACAAGGCTTCTTTATTCGTACGACAATGCATTTCATGGATTCAGTGCTGTTATGTCTGAGGATGAATTGCAAGTTCTTGAAAAGTTGCCTGGTTTTGTCTCGGCTTCTACTGATAAAATGGTCACTCATGACACTACTCACACGTTTGAGTTCCTTGGTCTGAATCCTGAGTCAGGACTATGGCCAGCTTCTGATTATGGCGAAGATGTGATTGTTGGTGTCATTGATACTGGAGTATTGCCAGAGAGTCGGAGTTATATGGATGACTGAAATTCCGTCAAGGTGGGAAGGGTATATGCGAGCCTGGACAAGAATTTAATGCTTCAATGTGTAACAATAAGTTAATTGGTGTTCAATACTTTAACAAAGCTGCATATCCTAATACCACAATTAGTATGAATTCAGGCAGGGATACACAAGGTCATGGCACACATACTTCATCAACTGTTGGTGGAAATTATGTGGAGAGTGCTTCATTTTTTGGCTATGCAACTGGCACAGCAAGAGGGGTCGCTCCACGTGCTAGGCTTGCTATATATAAGGTCATTTGGGATGAAGGACGCTTCGCTTCTGATGTGTTTGCTGGTATGGATCAAGCTGTTACTGATGGTGTCGATGTGATATCCATCTCTCTGGGATTTGATAATGTTCTATTGTATGAAGACCCTGTTACCATAGCTTCATTTGGTGCCATGGAGAAAGGCATTCTTGTTTCCGCTTCTGCAGGAAATGTAGGTGGCGTCCCTGGAGGACTCCACAATGGAATCCCCTGGCTCTTGACTACTGCTGCTGGCTCTATTGATCGTGTCCTCTCTGGAAAATTGACTCTTGGAAATGGACAAGTGATCACTGGTTGGTCAACGTACCCTGTTAGCGCCATATCCAACTTCAATAATGGAATCATCATATGCGAAAATGTAAATTTCCCTTTTCAATTTGATACCATGGCTAAATCCTCTGCTACTGCTGCTATATACATCTCTGACGATCCGATCATTTTCGAGAATGAAGAGTTTGAATATCCCGGAGTTGTTATCAGCCCTGAGGACGGTGCAGCTGTGATCAGTTATGCTAAATCTGGTGCCAATCCTGTTGCCAGCATTAGCTTCCAACAGACAATTGTGAGATCAACACCAGCACCCGTCGTTGCAACTTACTCATTACGAGGTCCTTCGCCAAGCTATCCAGGAATCTTGAAGCCAGACATTATGGCACCAGGGTCATTAGTCTTGGCATCCTAGATTCCTAATGTTTATACAGCTTTAATATATCCAGCTATCGAATTGAGCAGTGAATTCACAATGATTTCAGGAACATCCATGGCTTGTCCACATTCCTCAGGCATTGCTGCACTTCTTAAAGGCGCACATCCTGAATGGAGTCCAGCAGCAATCCGTTCTGCAATGATCACTAGTGCCATCAACATTGACAACACCAATTCTCCCATTAAAGATTCAGGCCTAAACTACAGTATCGCGACTCCTCTGGCTATGGGAGCAGGGCTAGTTAATCCAAACTTCGCTCTGAATCCAGGCCTTATCTATGATGCCACACCACAAGACTACATAAACCTTTTATGCGCCATGAAATTCAGTCTCAAGCAAATCTTGACAATCACAAGATCATCAATCTACACTAGTCAAAATGCATCTTCTGATCTTAACTACCCATCATTCATCGCACTGTACACTAATGAAACTGGAGCTACACTGAGTCAAAAATTCATAAGGACAGTGACAAACGTTGGCGATGGTCCTGCTAACTATTCTATAAATATGACCGTGCCATCGAACACAAACATTAGTGTTTATCCTTCAAGATTGTCCTTCAGCAGCAAGTATGAGAAGCTAAGTTATACATAGACAGTTGAATATAGCTGTAACAAAACTGGAGAAGTTGTATTCGGATCGATAGCTTGGGTGGATGTAATTGGTCTCCATGCTGTAACAAGTCCAACTGTGGTTGCACCAATGATCCAAACTTGGTAATACCAAAAAAAATTGGTACATAAAGAACTAGAGTAAAATAACAAAATGTGAGGAATTTAGAGTTATAGTTCTGAATCAGAAGGCTACTGACACAAATCTCGATTAGTAGGACCAGTAGATTTCGAATATCAGATTATAATATCAAAAAGTAAATCCAGAATCAGAAGTTTCCTTTCATTGTTCTTTTTGTCATTTTTTTCAAGTTACTGTTTACTTGCTTGATTTTGATATACGTTACTAGAGTCGCGAAGGTTGTGTACATTCCTTAAGCGCCACTACACTCAGTATGAGTATGTTGTTGTGGTTGATTTATGAATCACCATCCCTGCAGCAGACACTTTGTTTTAATTGTTAATCCATTCATATAATTGAGCTAAGTTCACATGATTCCCCCATACAAGTTAGTGCCTCAATTTTTTTAATCAAACATGTTGCTGCCTTGTATTTCCAATAATTAAATAATTCTCAGTTATGACTTATATGCTTGAAATTCCTTTACCTTTTACTTTGGAAAATAAAAACAACAATTTTTTGGGCAATGACAGTTGCAACTTACAATTTCCTTAACCTTGTTGTTTTGGTGTTCTTTCAAATTTAGTATCTCAGTTAGTAGGAGATTCTTTCAAGTAACAGATAACTTATATTTTGGTTCATTCTATTCAATAAGAAAAACTTTTACAATTTAATTTGTTTCAAATTAAGTACAACACTAACATGAATATATAAATTATTTTGTTATACTATTCCTCTAGTTAAACATGTGATAACAGGTTAATTATCATTTTTACAAGGTTATCGATTAATGCTTATCATAGGAATTTCTTATATAAGTGACCTAATCGTGTAAATATTTTATTCTTTCCTTTCCAAAATCATATGACCAAACAACATCACACTCCTTGTCATGCTGAAGAACCTTTTTCTTCAAAAAGTCACTTGAGAAACTAACAAAATAAAATAATGAAGATCTTGTTATGCTGCATTTATGAAGACTATTGACTTTTAAGGTCTTCTTTATTATCATAACTTTCATATTACTAGTGGGAAGAACTTTCCACAACTTTAAATTCTTGTTGTACTAAATGGTTTTGGCATGACTAGTGACTCTCAGTGGTGGAGCCAGGATTTTCACTAAATGGATTCAAAATATGAAGAAGTAAATAGACGAAAAAGCCAAAAGGGATTCAACATCTACTATACATACATAAAAAATTTATTTTAACCATGCATAAGCAGTGTAATTTTTTGTTGAAGGAGGTTTGGATAAACCCCTTCTGCCCTACTTGGCTCCACCTTTGGTGACTTCTATCTTCTCTTTAGTTAAAACACATGGGTGGTTCCCCACACACTTTAAAACAATTTGTTTGGATCATATGTAATGTAAGCAATGTTCACCATATATTGGTTCTTTCCCTTTACTCTTTTTGCCCATGGCTATATGATATTGGTTGTCACTATCAAAATGAGAAAAGACTGATAAAAAGAGGAGTGGAGAAAGGGTTTAAGAGAAAAATTAGTAGATAGTAAGTTTGGTGGCAATGGCACTACTGTATGAGGGATCCACTCCCATCACTGTGCATTATGAGTACTTAAAAGCATAGGCGTCGATCGACAGATTTAATGGTTGATTAATCAAGCCAGAAATATCTTGTTCCCTATATTTAAAGGTAGAAGACTACAAGTCTTGAACTAAGGCAATTTGGAAAATGATAGATGGAGAATTATCAATAGACAGCTAGTTGTATGATTGCAGAGGGGGTGCAGAGTTGAAATTGTTGCTAACTTCCAATAATATATAGCATGTTTGGTACATAGTGAAATTATGGACAAAGTGATGGACAATTTGGAAGTAAAGGGAATACTTTGGCTTCCCATACCTCTCACTTGTCTATATAAGTAAATTAGCTTATGTTCAAGAAAATATCCCTTTTCAGTATATTACTCAACATGGCAAATCATATTGCCTTGTGTATTTGGTTGCTTTCTATAATTCAATTGGCAAAGTCAGAAACTTATATCATTCATATGGATTTGTCAGCCATGCCAAAAGCTTTTTCTAGCCATCATAATTGGTACTTGACTACACTTTCTTCTGTATCAGATAGCAAAGACTTGTTGTCCTCTAAACTAGTTTATACTTATACTAATGCCATCAATGGTTTCAGTGCAAGTCTTTCTCCTTTTGAGATAGAAGCTATTAAGAATTCTCCCGGCTATGTTTCATCGATTAAGGATATGTCGGTTAAAGTTGACACAACTCACACATCTCAATTCCTTGGCCTTAACTCTGAGTCTGGTGTATGGCCAAAGTCTGATTATGGCAAAGATGTCATAGTTGGATTAGTTGACACTGGGATATGGCCAGAGAGTAGAAGTTATAGTGATGATGGGATGAATGAAGTACCATCAAGATGGAAAGGAGAATGTGAAAGTGGAACTCAGTTCAATTCCTCTTTGTGCAATAAGAAACTCATTGGCGCTCGTTACTTCAATAAAGGCCTACTTGCTAACAACCCGAATCTTACCATTTCGATGGATTCTTCTCGTGATACGGATGGACATGGGACTCATACTTCTTCCACGGCTGCTGGAAGTCGTGTAGAGGGTGCATCTTTTTTTGGCTATGCCACTGGAACTGCTACAGGTGTAGCACCAAAGGCTCATGTGGCCATGTACAAGGCTCTATGGAAAGAAGGTGTATTCTTGTCTGATATTCTTGCAGCAATTGATCAAGCAATTGAAGATGGTGTAGATGTATTGTCGTTGTCATTAGGCATTGACGCGCTTCCATTATACGAAGATCCTGTTGCAATTGCTGCATTTGCTGCACTGGAGAAAGGCATATTTGTTTCCACCTCTGCAGGAAATGAAGGGCCTTTTTTGGAAACTTTGCACAATGGTACACCTTGGGTGCTCACTGTTGCTGCTGGCACAGTTGACCGCGAGTTTATTGGCACACTAACACTTGGAAATGGAGTTTCGGTCACTGGCTTATCGCTCTACCCGGGGAATTCTAGTTCAAGTGAAAGCTCCATTAGCTATGTTGATTGCCAAGATGATAAGGAACTGCAGAAAAATGCACACAAAATAGTGGTCTGCATTGACAAGAATAATTCAGTTAGTGAGGACGTCTACAATGTCAGAAATTCAAAAGTTTCTGGTGCAGTCTTCATAACTAATTCAACGGACTTGGAATTCTATCTCCAAAGTGAATTTCCTGCAGTGTTTTTGAACATTCAAGAGGGTGATAAAGTTCTTGAGTACGTTAGGAGTGACTCTGCACCTAACGCAAAGCTTGAATTCCAAGTGACGCGTATTGGTGCTAAACCAGCACCAAAAGTTGCTAGCTATAGCTCAAGAGGACCATCACCAAGCTGTCCTATAATTCTCAAGCCTGACCTCATGGGTCCTGGTGCCTTAATACTTGCTTCATGGCCACAACAAACACCAGTAACTGAAGTTACCTCAGGAAAACTTTATAGTAACTTCAACATTATATCAGGCACATCAATGTCTTGTCCACATGCTTCTGGTGTAGCAGCACTTCTAAAAAGTGCACACCCTGAATGGAGCCCTGCTGCTATCCGATCCGCCATGATGACCACAGCCTATGTATTGGACAACACACAAAGCCCCATCCAAGACATAGGTAATGTTGAACTGTTTGACCATCTCATCTAAAAACTCGAAACATGTGGAAATATTGAACTGTGTAAGCTTAAACTGTTAGAGAGAACACGATTTTAATTATTTAACCATAATATGTCTCAACAGGTTTGAAGAATGGTGTTGCTACTCCTCTAGCTATGGGAGCTGGCCATATCGATCCAAACAAGGCGTTGGATCCCGGACTCATCTATGATGCAACACCACAAGATTATGTTAATCTCCTTTGTGCTTTGAACTTCACATCCAAACAAATACAAACCATCACAAGATCCTCAACTTACACTTGCTCCAACCCATCATTAGACTTGAACTATCCATCTTTCATTGGCTATTTCAACCGGAACAGCAGCGATTCGGATCCTAAAAGGATTCAAGAATTCAAAAGAACAGTGACTAACTTACAAGATGGTACATCAGTATACACAGCAACGATCACTCCAATGGGTAAATTTAAAGTTAGTGTTGTACCTAATAAGTTGATTTTCAAAGAAAAGTATGAAAAGCAAAGCTACAAGCTAAGAATAGAAGGTCCAATGATTATGGATGATAATGTGGTTGATGGTTCATTGAGCTGGATGGAAACTAGAGGAAAATACATAGTCAAAAGTCCAATTGTTGCAACAAGTATAAGAGTGGATCCTTTGAGAGGACATAACTGATTAGTGAAATGATCTCTTAACTAATATGTCTTCTAAATGTGATATTATTGTAACACATAATTTATGTGAAATAAACTTATATACTCTTCACATTTGTTTTTGTGTTGTCAGTAAAAGTGATAACCTGCAGATTACTCTCCAACTTATCAAACACCTAATTGCTGGTTTTCCTAAAATATTCAATGATACATTTACAGAAGTATCCATAATGTAAATCCTCTGTCCCAGATTAGTTGATCATTTTCTTTTTAACATGCATATTAAAAAATCATAAATAAGAAGATAATTTTATTAATTTACTCCTTAAAAAACTTCTTGAGAATTTTACAAACAAATGTGAACAGTTTTCAAAGTAATTGTAGGGATAATATAATAAAGTGGACAAACTAAGATATAAAATAAGATAATCAACTTATATGGGACGAAAAGAGTAGCTATTAACAATTTGGTGTTTCATAACTAAAAACTAACAAAGGAGGCTTCAATATGAGATGAAGTATTAAATTAAAAAATAATAAAATAGAACCATTTTACAATCGTCACTCCTTTATATATATTTATATTTTGTTTATGACTACTTTTAGAAAATAAAACATATTTATAACAATACCTCTCAATATTGCTGTCGGTCGAATAAAATAAATAAATATAGGCACGCAAGACACATTAGATATTGGTGCGTTACCATGAACTGTCAACAAATCAAATTGGAGAGTAATATCATTAATACCCTATGTATTGATTAATACCCTATTCAGATCTATTATATAGAGTTGTCAAAATAGACTGATCTGATCTAGTAGTTCTAGACGATTATGTAATTTAATGATGTCCGACTTAACTATCTGATCTTTAAAACTACTTGAAAATCCTTAATAAGCGACATTGAACATTGCGATACTGGGTAATGCCTTCATTTGAATCCAAAGCTCTCGAGACAAAACATATATCTATGTATAACAATTCAATTCATGTCTACATGAATTTTAGGCTTCCAGTCAAAATTCATGCATTTTCCAACTGGAATTCTAAGACAGTCTAGTTGAGAATTAATTACCCTATCATGCCCGTCAGTGAATTAAATATATTTGTATCTTGTGCTTAAAAAAATGTTCAAATATGGGCCAAGCTGGGTTGACAAAATGATAGTGGACACTAGTGATCACGAGCTAGATGATATATGTAATCATGGTCCAATTTTTTTTTATGATTGTAGCAAAATTTGTACACCCTTATAGGCCGAGGCGGATTTAGGAGGGGCGAGAGTGTTTATCCTGTAAAAATTATATTGTATATATAAGATTATTTTTTCTAATTAAGGTTGACTAGGTGGTTTAGCTAGGAGGTTCACGTTTCAAATTTAAATCACAAGCATTATATTTTATTTTTCGAATATCATGAAAATCCTAAATCCGCTACTATGTATGGGTCCACCGGACCGGAAGATGAGCCAAAAATCCGTGGCCTCCCGTGACTGCATGCTCTAAAATAAGCCCATTTCTTGGATGAAGCTTCCAATGTCTCCATATATTTGACTAGTGTACTCTTTCTACCAGCGTCAATTGAGAATCTCAAGATGATAATTCACACTTCTCATCCAAAAAAATAAACTTTCTTATATGTTCAGTACTTCTGTTGAGGACTCAAGCCTAGTCAGTTGCGTGATATGAAGATTTTGAATTTGAACTTTATAATTTTTTGTAATTGGACAAGAGGGTGTTGCTCCGGTAAACATTTTCCACCTTTAGCTCTAAGATTGTGAGTTTGAGTCACCAAGAGAACGAAAAAGATGAAAGCTATGAGAAACGGATAAAAAGATTGAAATTTTGTCATCTAAAATAAAGCTATAGAATTTCTTGTAGCTAAATAAGCCGTATCATTAAAGATAAACTATTAAGAGTTCTAAAGTTAAATAGTTACCAAAAGATCTAACTAAAAATGAAAAAAGTTGTCTTATAAATTGAAATAAAAAGAGAATATATTTAATGACATTTTTTCAATACAATAGAATCGATGTCGCCAAAGTTATTGAACTTTGTCGAACCCATATATAAATATGAAGGCCTACATCAGCCCGCCTTAACGGAATGATGCAATAGAGTGATTGAGTCAGTTGTAAGTAATTCACAAATCTTTTCCTTAATGTAAGGGGAAATTATTGACGAACCATTAGTCAAAGTCATCTGTATTTTGTCTATTTTTGTTTTGATATAGTCCGTGATCCACACCAATATTTTGTGTCTATATACATGATCAGTACGAATATATTGCTTATAAGTGTAGTGTTCCAAAGTTCAATTTTCAATGCGTGTTTGGTATCACATATATGCATTGTGGTCAATAAATTAATAAAAAGTTTTTCCAATAAAAAATGTTCAATCAATGGTATATGGTTGTAGTAGAAGATGGCTACGTTGACAAGATATAGTGATTATTTAAAATAATTATATTTGAATTATGACAGCTTAATTAATAATTTTTTAAATATAGATTGACACGATATAACTTGCTTAAAACTATATCAGAGGAAGCATAGCTTGTTCAAAGTAATGGTTTTTCCAATATAACTTTTAACAATTACAATTGATTTAAGAATATATCATAGTCAACCACTTTCCTTTAAGAAAAAATTACTTGGATTGGTACCTTTTAATAAATAATTACTAATTTTAGCGATTTTTATTTATTTATTATCATTTATAGCAATATTATGTTAAATCTGCAATATGTATTAAAAGTGAATTATGTATGCAATATATATGTACTATAACTGGTTTTTTTAAATATATTATGTTTGTTTGATAAAAAATTGACACATTGTATTATAAGTGTATTAAAATGTGTGATAAATGTATTATCCATCAATAAAACTTGTATTATATGTGAATAATAATTGTTCTTTGTAATATGTATTAAAATTGTATTATAAATGTATTAAAAGTGATCAAGTGAAAAAAAATATTATTGCTATAAATGGTAAATATTTTTTTATTTTAGTATATTTATGTAAGTTTCCCTTAATTTAATTAAGGAATCCTATTCGAGTGCAATTGTTTATAAATGCAAGGTACTTAACTTACTAACCTTCAAAAGGGACATCTATTGCAAATTAATCGACTGACTCATCATAATTTACTCAAATTGTTAATGTGACATTTCTAAGCCCAAGCAAAAAGGCCACGTTTAATAGATGGGCCTTCTTTTTTGTTCTTAGGAGACGGCCCAACAATACTGGATAGGCATAAAAGCCCATTCGATTGGAAGATAAAAGGAGGAATTTAAACTTCGGATAAATATATGTAGCGCATTTAGATAAATATATCTTGGATATATGGGTTTAAAATTAGGTGTAATTTGTTTTAGATATATTGTATTAAAGTGGATTATATGACTCTCTCGCTCACCCCTTTCCCTCTCTCACTCGCTTCTTTCCCTATTATCTGTATTTCTGAATATATTTAGGATTATCTAGTGTGATTCACATGTATCTGGAACACATAGACTATCTCGCTCGCCTCTCTCCCTATTTCAGTGTATCTGGTAGCAAAAATACATGTATACACACATATCTGATTTGAAATCTGTTATAAAATTATTAATTAGTGAGATAATATATAATTATTTTATACTAAAGGAAGAATTAGTAAATATAGTAGGAATGTTTGTGTAATTAGCTAATTTTTCCAAGATAAAATATGGTCTTGGCTCTTGTACATCTTGTAGAATGTAGAGAGGGTCCTAATTCTAGTACTAGTATCCCTTTTATTGTTGATATTCCGGCAAACAAAAGCCTAGAACAGACCAAGGACCATTTGGCATAGTTGCTTCATCTTCTGACAACAAATAAGAAAAAATGTAACTCTTAGTGAATTTTATAAAGTGGACAAGTATTGCTAGACATCTAGTTTTAGTATAGTGGACAACTATTATTGGACAGAAGAAGTAATAATGAAATTTAATGTTTGAATTCATGTCTAAATCCGGGACGCGAATTTTTTTTTTAAAAAGTTTCTCCTTTGCATCATTCCACATTCTATATAACCTGGATAATATGATCTAACTTTCATATGTTCACTAGATTATGTCACTTTCCGCTAGTACATATTTTGCTTTAGGAGTAAGAATCAAAATAAGTACTAGTAGTATTCTTCTTACTCACTAGTACTTTTTTTTATTTTCAAATTCGATATTTGATATCTACATGAAATTTGACTAAGAATTAACAATCTCATAAATTGCACGAGATCCTTTGGTGTGGTAATAGTAGTATTCAATGAAGTGTATGTATGACCAGAAGCATCTTGGGTTGCCTTAAGACAAAGAGAGAAAAAGCAGATAGTACAATGCATCATCCCACATGCTTTATTTTTTATTACTTGTAAAAAGAAAAAAAAAAGGAAAATAATGGTTTTCTTTTTTCTCAACTCACATGGTATGAATTTTAAAATGTGGATCCCACTCCACCCAACCCACCATTTTCCTTTACTTTTTCCACTTCTTCTAAAATAGACATTATTTCACAATCAAACACAAATTATATTAACAAAAGTCCTCCATGACCCTCAGTTTCATTTTACATTTAACTGCAAACACAACAAAAAGAAAAAAAAGAAGAAATATTTTGGCTTATAATAAATAATAATTCAATTTAATTTTGAAATTAACTTTCAAAAAGTAAAATCTATCATATTTTTTGTGGGATAAAAGAGTAATGTTGAATACGCGTTGTACTACTAGAGTTGCCAACTCTGTGGCAGCTGTATTTGATTAATGAGACTAAAAATCATTTTAACATTTTTTATCTATATAATAATGTATAATGGTTGTTAGGCCTCTTATTATTATTTGATTTTCCACTTATGTCCCGTCGGTGGATAATAAAAATTATAATAAAACACACATTTTGGTTGCGTCAATCAAAACGATGTACTTGCATTTTGCATATTAAATTCTAGAAATTGAGATACCCAGTGTCTACACTTCAACAATTCTTCTTTCATCA